ATGGAATATTATTCAGCCTTAGAAAAGAAGGAAATGTTGCCATTTGTGGCAGCATGGGTGAACCTTGAAGGCATTATGCTAAGCGAACTAAGTCAGACAGAGGACAAATACTCTATGATCTCACTTACATGCGGAATCTAAAAGACAAACAGAAGCTGAATTCACAGATACAGAGAACAGATTGGTGGCTGCCAGAGGTGGTGGAGGGGAGGGGTAAAGGTGGTCAAAAGGTACAAACTTCCAGTCACAAAACAAGTAAGTCATGGAGGTGTAATGTACAGCATGCCGGCTACAGATAATAAGTGTATTGTATATTTGAATGTGCCTAAGAGAGAAATCTTAAAAGTTCTCATCAGAAGAAAAAAAAGGAGTCGCTATGTACGGTGGTAGATGTTAACTAGATTTATTGTGATCATTTAGCAATATATACAAATATTGAATCTTGGATATCATGTTACTTGAAACTAATATACTTGAAATATGTTATATGTCAATTATATAATGACGTATAACATACGTCATTATATATATAATGTCATACATCAATTATATCTCAATTAAAAATATCTTATAAATCATATGGTATATAAACTATATCTCAGTAAAGTTGTTGCCCACCCCCCAGCCTGTAATGTATATCTTTCACTAATTCAAACTGTCCTTTCTCCTAATTGGCCTCAAGTAAGGAAATTACACTGAATGTAGCAGGCTGGGTATAAAAAGGGGTTCGGCTGTAAAGTAGAAAAGATTACCCCCTAAGAAATTAAAAAATAGATTCTGGTTTCAAAACACAATCAAGAAAGTGTTCAAAAATAATTTTTGTGAGTCAAAAAATAAATCTTAATTTTACTGCTATGATTTGCATTCACTTTTTTTTCCCCTTTAAGTTTCCTTCTCCTAAACCATGATATAAACTTTGCCCTGTAGTTGGACTAATTTCTAAATATGGGCTCTATATTCTGTTGATACAGACTGTGGAGTAATATATGGAATACAGCTTTAATACAACTGCTCTGTTTGGCCAAGTTGCCCATGTTCATTCAGGCTGAGGACAGAGGTCCCATTAAATCACACAGGCATTGCAAATCCAGATAAAGGAGTTGTCATTTTTCTTTCTGAAGTCAGTTTAATGAGTGAGTTTGCATTTGCCACTCCCTTTGCCTTCAGAATTGACCTACTTCCTCCAGCCAGCCGTGCCCAGTGTACCCACCACTCACCCTAGACCCTTGTACACGCTACCCGGTGGTGACAATAACAGTGTCCCTATAAACCAGGAACTGCTCTTGGTGCCTGGCATAAGGCCACGTCACTGGAGCCTCACAAGAACACTAGGAGGCAGGAATCATTTCAGTTTGCAGGTAAAGAAGCAGATTCAGGCACGTGGCTCCGGCTGGTGAGGTGAAGCCCTGGCATGCGAATCCTCCCGGTCCGGAGCCGGCTCTCGCTCCTGCCCGAGTCACCTTGTTTGCGAATTACCGTCTCAGGAACAGGTCCTGTCTAACCAACCTGCACTCTGTATGGCGTTCTACACACCGTGGACCCTGAATAAATACTTTTACTGATCATTTTGACGACACAAGCCTTTGTCTTCCTAGATCACAGAGGAACCTGAAAGCAGTATTTGGCTATACAGTGTCCAGGCTACAGCCTAACTCTCGTACGAAAACACCAGAGAAAGTGGCAGTAGTCCTGGTGATGGGCAGAACAGCAAGGCAGCCCAGGAAAGCCAACTGTGCGTGTTAAAAGACTGATATAAGAAGCTACCCCCAAAAATCTGACTGCACCCTGTTTAAAATGGGGAAAGCGGGGGCACAGCAGCTTTAGTGAAGACACCGAAGAGGTCCTGGCTCAGGAACTACATGCAGTAGGGAATTCCATCGCACATCCCGTGTGTAAGTGGGAAACAAAAGTCCATTTGAAATTTTAACTGGTAAAGGAGAAAAAAACATCAGGAACTTCTGTCTTTCCCATTATAACTAGAGATTCTGGTTCAAGTCCTACTCAGTCAGATGTGAACTGTGGGCATCAGCAAACTGCTTTAGTGTAACAGCTGTACAACTCCAGTTCAAAGACCAGAGGAGGACAGATTGTGGGAAACAAAGTACAGATGTGAGGGGAAAGGAAGTGTGTTCTTTTTGCTACCAGTGCCTTCTAACAGTCTTTTACAGAAGAGCTATGTCTTTGAGACCTAAGTAAAAACAATCACATGCTGAGAGTATTGACCTGCACCATCTGATCTGTGGAAGCACAGGCACATGTGGCACGTCCACAGTGAGAGGTGCAGAGTCCATAAGATACACACCAGATTTCAAAGACCTAGTACCAAAAACTGTAAAGTGCCAATAATTTTTTATATTGATTGCACGTTGAAATGATCATATTCTAGACATACGGTGATGAATGTTATTAAAATTAATTTCACTTGGGTTTTTTTTTTTAACTTTTTAAATAAGGCTATCGGAACATTCTAGATTATATATGTGGCTTGCATTATACTTCTGCGGGATGGTGCTGGTATACAACATGCTGTAGAAAAAGCAGGAGGAAACAAATCTCAGCTGTGACTCAACAGACTGTTAAGATTTGTCAGTCAGTCCTTCGTGACAGCCTGTTACAGAGATTTCAATTTCCAGACGATGAGGATTTCTGGTGTTCTACAAACACAGGACTTAGAGCCAGGGTAGTTTGGGTTTGAGGATGTCTCTGTCACTCACTAGCTTTGAGGTCAATGACTTTCTAGCCACAAAATCTTGGGTAAGTAAGTGACATAACTCAGAGCCAACCTACCTCCAAATCCTGTTATGAGGGTCAAATGCAGTAACAAAAAGAGCCTAGCATTTTAAATGATGAACACTATTATCCTCCTCAGAAATTTTCCGTGACATGCTTTTAACATATTTTAGTGGCACTTTATTACAAATAAATAAATAGGAAGATGACTAATAAGATTAGTGGTCTTGTGGTGGTTGTTCTTAGAAGCTTCTAAGTTGGACTGAAAAGGAACGTACTATTCGGGGAGATTATAAAATCTTCATCTCTGGAGATCTTCCAGAAGAAGAGAGCACATTATTTCTCCTGGAAAGTTTAAACCAGAGAGTGGAGCAGGGAGATGAGTTTATGCTGTTTTCGAAAGAGAGGCACATCCAGTTCTAAAGCCCATCAGCGGGGTGATGTGGTGGAGTTTATTTAACATTTCTGGAATTGCGATTTCCTCATTACTGAATGAAGGAGGCTGACTAAATGATCCGTAGGATGCCCTCCAGCACCAGGACTCTTCGCAACAGTGAATCTAGAGGTTACATACACAGAAATTTCTACTCACCCCTGTGAAAGCACTCTCCTCAACACTCCCTAGTCCGCACGTCGGTAGCTCCCACAGCAGCTTTCTCACAGTCTGCCCCAGTGACTCCTTGCTCAAGCTGTTTCCCCATGAGCGTGCATAAACCCATTCTCCCCCTACAACCATTTCCTTTCAAGGCATCTATGTGCCTATCCTGTTTAGCACAAAGATACGTAGAAGCCAATTAAAAACAGAAAACTATCAGCCCCCGGCACACCTCAACTTCAGGTACCAGTTTAACTGCTCTCACCCTGCGGGCCTCACTTAGCTGTTAACTGACCCATTTGTTAAACCTGGAAAAGGTATGCAGCAAAATCAAGGTACCACTGCACTGAATGTCAGAAGTAACAAAAAGGACCTGTAACATAACTACTTGTAAAATCACCTGCCAGCTGACTGGTTAAGTTTTACTGGGGGTAATTCTGAACAGGATCCTTAACTAGGAATTTTATTTCATTTTGTTTTATTTGCTGATCTAAGGATTAAATAAAGCATCTCCACGTTTGCCCCAGGGTTGCATGTGACTTGAGGAAATTAATTTTGCTTTCTGTGACATAGTTTGCTTATCTCTCAAAGAGAACTAATAAAAATCACGTGCTCAAAGACATCGTGACCCTACCAGAAAGGCTCAGTGCAAGCATAAGCTATCAAATTTCAAATACCTCACAGAACGAGCAGACATGTTAGCAAAAATGTCCAGGCAAAATTCTGAAGAGGCAGGAGTTTTGAGAACAAAAAAGAAAAAAAGAGCAAAAAGAATGCCTCCTTGCTGCCCAATGAGAGGGTGTTTTTGTTTCCACGTGCTAAAATAAAAGCAAGCCCACCTGGAAGCTTATTTTACGGTCAGCCCAATTCTTTCAGCTCCTCAAGCAGAAATACCCAAAAAGCAGCACTTGTAGATCACCAGCAGTTGAATTAAGATCTTTGATTGCTTTTTCAATTTGAGGTGATGTAAATAAGAGGTTTTAGAGACAAATCACTTTCCAGGCAGTTAGAGCACTGTTTTCTAGCACCACTGGTTAAGAGCATATAAGCAGTGGAGACAGACGGATCTTAGTTCTACCGCTGTTATGTGTGTACAGTCATATATAATGGCCTCAAGCAATCAATACGGCTCCTCCGTTGGGTACACCTTGTTCACAATGGCTCACATCCTCTTCATCCAGTATTTATGGTCCTCCCTCTTCTTTCTCAACCAAACTGCTCCAAGGGGCCTCAGGCGGGGCGCCGGCAGCGCGTCTTCTTAGCGCTGGTCCTCACCATCCTTTTACCCCCCTCCCCACCCCTCTAGCCAGGAGTCATCATGAGATCTTCCTCAGTCCAAGCCAACCTGAGTCCCTTTCTAGTTGCTGCAGTAAATAAATACATCTCTATATGTGAAATCACCTAGGCGGCATTAGCCTTCCTGGGTGTGCCCAACCGCAGGTCTCTTGGACCTGTAAGAACAGCACACTTGACCACAGCTTAGCCTTCCTACAGCGAGCAGAACGTCACAGCAGACGGCACTGGGGAGGATGGCATGGCCGCTGGGCTGCTCACAGGGGAGCTGCACTAAGAACACGGGGTGCACGTGCCTGAAAGGACAGCCCACCGGCAGCCCAGTGCTTCTCCAGCTGCTGTCAAGAAACCCTGCAATGAAGGATATTTTCAAAGCACCCACCTTGTTGAGGACATCTCGCTGGCAGCCAAGATAGAGATTGGGCAGAATTCGGGTTGGCCCAATGTTGGCAACAGGTAAGCAAGGCTGAGAAATGCAGGTGGGGACTAGGGTGGATTTTCCTTCACAGAGGCCAGGGAAACAGCGGGAGAACTCGGCAAACCCACCTAAGGACAGACAGGGTACAGTTACGCCGTGCATAAAGATGAAAACCAGCCTTCTGCTAACTACTCAAATACAGTTGTCTGAAAAGAACAATCAGATCCCAGAGACGGAAGTGGAGCCCCGTCCACAGCTGCTCGGTCTGGGGTACAATCCAGCACCAGCCCCGGCTTTGCAAGCCCACGAGAGGGACCCCAGGCCCTGAAGGCACTTAGTGACTCACCCCCTTGCTCTCACTCCCCTCACCTTCGCGCATCCTACGTCTTTTCCCTGCTCCCTGTCCTATTTCGTGTGACTTAAAGAGGACTGAAAGTAGCAGATAACCAAGCCAAGACAGGTGCAAAATGCGGATAAAAAAACACATGAACTGAGGCCAGATGTGACTTCTTTAAAATAAAGTTCCTTCTAGAATGAACTTTAAATTCCTACTGTATAAGTTTTATATTTCAAAGATACCACATACTCCCCTTACTCTTACATATATTCTCTATATCAAGGGTCGCATAATTACCCCCGATTCCGGGGTCTCCTGTTCATTGGCTGAGCACTGTGAACAAGGGCCGACAGACCCTAACTGCTCAGGTTACATGGACGCCTTGTGGCAAGATTTCTGGACTCAGAGGAATCCAGTGTTTTCTAGTCCCATCCTTATAATGACCTACTCTATGATCTTCATTAGGTCACAATCTCACTACCTGTTAATGAAGAGAAATCTATTGGCTAAGGGGACACTCTCACCTCCTTTCAGAAAAGAAAAGATGAACAAGGTCTTCACTGGGTTTTCCAGTCTAAATACTCCTTGCTATCCAAATCCAAACCCAAGAACTGAATACATTCTGATACATTTTCAGAAGAATCCCTCACTATCCAGACCCTCACTAGTCACTACATCTAAACTCGGAACCAAAGACATTTGGATTATAGGGAATATGTGTATATTTTTAATACTTAACTTGTTAAGAAGACAGAGAAGCCTCATTTTTACCTCTTTAATCAAGCCTTAAAAAGGACCCTAGTTGGGACTGACATATACACACTACTATGTATAAAATAGAGAACTAATGAGAACCTACTGTATAGCACAGGGAACCCTACTCAGTGCTCTGTGGTGACCTAAATGGGAAGGAACTCTAAAAAAAGAGTGGACATATGTATACATATGACTGATTCACTTTGCTATACGGCAAGAAACTAACACAACGTTGTAAAGCAACTATACTCCAATAAAAAATAAAATAAATAAAATCTTAAAAAGGACTCTAAAATCTCATTAAATATTTATCTCCATCTCCTTGAGCTACATTCCATTAGCCTTTCCTGCGCTTCCAGAAACATATAAAATATGCCCTCAAAAACTGCAGAAGTGCAGGGAGTTGACGGGGGAGGTGTCACCCTTTTTTATCCCCTGTATTATGTTCAACCCAAGCATGATCCTCTGGACTCCTGCGTCCACTGTCTGTGCTCAGCATGGGGTGCACGGTGCAGCAAGCTGGGACAGCAGCAAGTCGGTGACAACAACCACGCCACCTGCAAAATGTAGGTGTGCATCCCTAGCCTCCAAGCCAAGTGTCTGCACTGTTTTTACTCTTAAGCAGTTTGCTTATTAAAGTTCTTAAGGTAACCTGATAGAAAGAGCAGGGGGTTCCATTATAGAAACCCCACCTTTCTTTGCGGGACCGACGAGGCCCTGGGGACCTGTACCTGTTCAGCATTAAGGTTTCATTTCTTGCCCTTCCCAAACGCGCTCTCCAGCCACACAAAACTCACTGTCACCTCACACTTTCATGCTGTTCTCTCACCACCACCGGCCCGCCCCGTGCACACACACACAGCATACAAACCACACACACGTGAGCCCCGCGACCGTACAGCAGAGGGAGGACGGGCACAGGCCCCTGTACCTGAGTCTGTGTCCTGGCTTCACCATGTTCTAGCTGTCAGGTTTGGACAAGTGACTTATGCCCTCTGGCTATCAGTTTCCTGTCCATAAAATGGGAATAATGATCACACCGCCCTCACAGAACTGTCAGAGGACTGAATTAGCTAATATGCGTGAGTGCTTTGTGCCTGCGCAGAGTGAGCCCTCCGTGGTACAGTGATCTGACATCGAGTTCCCAGCTTCATCTGTGGGCTCCCCTCCTCCGCCCCTGATCTGCAGCTACACCTCGGTAGGATACACCTGAGACAAAGTGAAAACAGTAATGCTTCTAAGGCTGCATTTCCCAGAGTCTGCTCCAGGGTGCTGGCATCCTGCAGGAAGCTGACAGACGGGATATCGGTCCAAAAAGTAAGAGAAACGCTGCATATCACGTCTCCCTGGGAGACTCACAGCACACGTATTAAAAGCTCTGAAAAAAAATCTCTAAGGAAACTAGTTTACTTTCATTTAATTTAAGGGTCCCAAAATTATTTGACCATGGAATTTCCCCTCCCATGTTCCCCCCTAAAATCTCTTAAAATCTAAGCTGGTGGAACTCACACACAAGGAAATGCTGTGCTAGGGCTGTTGCAGCTACTGGAATGAAGTAAATTAGAATCCCTACACCTAAAGTATAAGCCACGGCAATCTCAAAAAAGGGGTCAGTTAATATTGGCATACGTATGTGCCTGTCACTGTTTAGGATTTATCATTTTATTTCATAAATGTTTTGTCCTTTTCAGTCTCTTAACTGCATAATGCAGTTATTTAAGGTGAGTTTTTCCCTCAAAGCAGTTCTTGTAATAATAGATGTTAAAGAGTCTATATACATTATTTGCCTATCTTACACCTACCCAACACGATAACGGACGGCCACTATTTTGATTATAATTTAAATTTTAACTTCCATTAACTTTTGTTGTTCTGGTGTTTCTCTAAAGAACTGTTTTCATATTTTTTCCTATTCTGGCTCCAAAACAGTTCATGGGACGATCTCTCATTTAAATCCAACAAAACGAGAGTCCAGTAAATGTTCTCAGAGAACAGAGAAACCAGACAATCCAAGGAAACTCCACTTGAATTCCATTTGAAACTTATGTCATCATATTTATACATAATGTAAGGACTCCCAGAGTTACTAGACATTTACTATGTGACAAGCATTGCTCTAAGCACTTTACAAGGGTTTGTTCAGTCTTTACAACTGCCCCATGAGGTAGGTGCTTCGATTACTCCCGTTTTACAGATAAGGAAAGAGAGGTTCAGAAAGACGCAGGGTGATAATCAACAGAGCTGGACGTGAGCCCGGCTCGAGACTGTACTCTCACTCGCTCTGCTAAGCCGTGTCTCTAAATACCACGGAATTAACTGCAACGCTCTCTAGGCTGTGGGGACAGCCTGCTGACATCTCTGGGGTCCTGCCCTCATTTTAGCCTCATTTCACCAGGCTGAAGATGGCCACGGGCCTCTCCCAAACTGACGGGAGGGCCTTGCTTCCCCCAAGCCACATGGTTCAAAAACTTCGATGAGGGAGAGAAAAGGGAAGGAGATCTGACCTGACCAGAGAAACAAGAACTCTGTAAGTGTGCGTCACATGAGACCAGTAACAAAGCTGAGGAAAAACTAGCGGGGGATACAAAAAACACGGTCATGGCCGGCTAACGATCACAGTTTGTGAATCAGTGGCGAGACGGTTGCGGCGTCTCGGTGACTTTCAGCCCGTCCTCCACCGAACTACGTTCAGAGGGGACAGATTCTCCAACAATCGTAAACTGAAGGCCGGCCAGCCTGGGCTGTTTGAAGTGCAGCTCTATCATTCATTTTATCCTAAATCGCTTCTAACTTTGGTGGTCCTAACAAGTAAAATGTGAGTGTGGCTCTAGAAAATTCTAACAGATTAAAAAAAAAAAAAAAAAAAAAAGAGAGAAAGCAGCCACTATTCAGCCTCAAAACAAAACCCCAAAGCCAAACAAAACAGCAATAACACATTATAAAACAAACAGAAACTTTTTTTTTCCTTACAAATTTTTTCAACTAATCTCTAGCAGCACAAATCCAAACAGCCTTAAAATATTTAACAGATTTTGTGAAATCAGAGCATTCATCTAGTGCTCAGGCTGGCTTGAAATGTCCCAAACCAGGACTCCTGGTAACTTCCACACAACACGACCTCAGCCAAAGAGTACATTCTCCCTGATCTTCATCTCTGACAATGTTCCACTCTGCTGACATCCTCCTTTATTGACAGTTTTTTCCATTCGCTGACCTTTCATTCATCGTTGGACTCCAGTGACCCCAGTTTCATTTCATTAATTAACAACAGATGAGACACTGCCTGACTTACCCGAACCCTCGAACCCTCGAGAAACTATCTGTAGCCTCATCAGCAACTCAGTTTTGAAATACATCTGAAATGTCCCTCCTCCTCTTACAAGAAGAAAAGTACAATTCATCTACGTAAACTTTCTGTTACAAATGGCTGACAGACACAGAATCAAGAGCCATCTCTGCCCTTGTCCCACCTCTGCTGTCCCCAGACCCTAAGTTAGATTCTATTATGACAAGAAGACACAACATCAGTTCATGATCTCCACTTGTTTACTGTGAAAGCAGCACTGAGAAACTGACACGCTTCTTGAAAAAGTTTAAAAATATTTTTTAAAGTTGTTCAAGTATCTGACTCACCGTCCAATCTTGCCAAGTTTCTCCTGTCCCTAGATTTTATGCTGCTTATCATCTAGGAATGGAGAAAATAGAAAGTCGAACAACGCATGTGTGCTATCCTCAGACAGACCTGAATCTCAGTACGCTGTACCGGCTTTGGCCCCTTGTGCTAGGAGTGTTTGTTTTAAGAGGAAGAAAGACACATATGCAGACACCCTGGCCTGTAGAGGTGGCCAGCGGATAGACATACGGACACCACTGGCCTCTACAGACTTGGATGAACAGGCAGACAAACTGCAATGTTAAAAATCCATATTTCTGTTAGTCTTCCACAAATTTACCTGTAGAATGCATATTTATAAATAAAACCATACATATTACTTTGGACGGAGAAAACACTTGGTACAGCTTAAAGGCATTCAT